TCTATATCTTCCGTCTAAATAGGCTGTTGGCATTGTTTGAAAATGAAGTTCTGTAAAAGCTTGTCTCAGGGACTGGGGACTGCAAATAAACGTATGAAATTGAAAATTCTTGGATGGTTTCACTTAGCAAGTCCTAATCCAAACACCTAATATGGCTCTTAGTTCAAAGATTTAAATTAAATGATTTATCTAATCTTTTGACTGAGCCTAGTCTTTCTTCACATAATACAGACCGGGTTCATATCATGTGCTAAGTCAAAGTGTGTTGTGTTGTGTTGTGTTGTGTGAACCCAGCAAATATGTATAAAAAAGATAAGCCTCTTACATTCAAGGGTAATTTCTATTTATTCTAACAGTGTTTACTTCCTGGAAAAGTGCAAAATTCAATGCAGTTATCTCCAAATGAGGCATGACACATTTACCGGTAGTTAACAATCATGCTGTACTCAATTAACTCATTCTGATTCTCTAAACCAGTATTTGTCAGCTTTAGCAACTTTAAGATATGTGGACTTCAACTCCAGAATTCCCCAGCCAGCATGCTAGCTGGGGAATTCTGGGAGTTGAAGTCCATGCATCTTAAAGTTGCTGAGGTTGAGAAACACTGTCCTAAACTAAACAAAGAACATTGGCTGTGTTCATACAGCATACTACCCTGAAGGGTGGTAGTCTAGTCTGTGGTTCAATACATAGTTCAAACACAACCCTCTCTCTGCAGTTCTAAGCATGATTGGTGAAGAGAGTGGGAATCAAACCATAAAAAACAGCCTCAAAACAAGTGGAGAAGATAGTCTAGTTGATTAAATACAACAGTGGAATGACTCATTATGATTCTGGAGAAAGACACAAGAGCTTATGTTCACCTGAGAATAAGCCCCTGAGGAATGACTCAATGGGACTTTCTTCTAATACATGTAAAGAAAGCTGTGAGATCGTTTTCCACAATTCAGTGACCTCAGGAACCGCTGCCTGCAACCCCTTTCTCCATAGACAAGGGCTGCTGCTTGATGATAGTAGTTGTAGTTCAGCACTTCCTGAGGGTAGCACGATTACTATGACTGCTTTAACAAAACAAAATTAAGCTAGCTGGTTGAAATATCATCCCCAAAGCAAGTACCAACAAATCACTTCTTCATTTGTTAAGAAGATTGTGGGGGTGTAAGTCATCAGGATTCAATCATTAAGGGACTGAAGTGGGGTGTGCTCCAGGAAAGTACTTAGTGCTATAATAAATGTGTTGTCTTTAAAGACCCGTTTTTTTCCCCTTATTGTTGTATTGCAGTAAACCAACAGTTCCTTGTTTTGTGAGAAACATCAAAACAGATCCTCAAGGGTTTGAAAGGTTCTGTTACAGAGAATTGTCCCAGCTTTGCCTCTGAGCAAACTGGCTGCATTCAAATGACCCATTTATCCATGGTTATTTTGGCCAATATTTACTCAACAGAGTTTTCTGAGTTCACACGACAAACTGGGCCAAAAAATCAACCACCCAGTCTGGATTTGCAAAACACTCTAGGCCAATGTTTCTTAAACTTTTTTCTCTCAGGATCCCTCCCCCAAAATTTTTGAAAATTACGGAGGACCCCAAAAAAGCTTTTGTTTGTATGGACTATATTTATTGATATGTTCCATATTAAAAATTAAAAATGACACATTTGCTGTCACTACCTCTTGTAACGATTGTCTGATGGGACTGATTTTAAGGACCTCTGAGAGAGACTTGGGGGACCCTAGGACCACACTTTAAGAAACACTGCTCTAGGCTGGCATGAGGTTAGCCAGTCTAACCCTCCGCATGGCACGCAAGAGGACAATCAAATTCCAACCACAGGACTGCCAACCTAGCACCACAGACACGAAAATCTAACACAGCTGTAGGCCACGCCGTCCTTCCCGCTCCCATTGGAGCGTCTAACAGCGGAGACCAGTGTTTCTCAACTTCAGCAGCTTGGCGGACTTCAAGCCCCAGAATTCCCAGCCAGCATGCTGCTGAGGTTGAGAAACACTGGGGTAGAAGATAAATAAAGGCTGCTCTAATTCCTTTCCCCATCTTCAGAGCGGTCTCTCCTCCGCGCTTGCATTCATTGCCCGCAAGTTTAACTGGGAAGCGGAAGCGAAACTGCAACTTCGTTGAATACGTCGCTCTCCTTAACCGGCAAGCGCCGCTGTCATTCATTCCTCCTCGCCTCCTGTCCTGGACCTTCCTCTGATAGGGCAGTATTTTCGTGACGCAATCCCCCCTCGGCCAATAGAGTAAGACCACGGCGGTGAGGAGCTTTTGTTGCTTTGGCGGCTCCTCCGGCATTGGCTTGTGTTTCCAGGCAGGACGCTTTTATGGGTCGGACTCAGCAAGGCTGGCCAAAGGATCAGCGAATGGTTTGGAAACCCGGTGGAGGAAAAGGAAGTTTTGTGCCGGGGCAGCGGGCGAGCGGAGTCGGCTTCTCGCAGACCGCCGGAAAGAGGCCCATCGCTTCCCAATGCCGAGGGAAGAGAGACGTATCTTTTCGGCCCTCCGCTCCTTTTCGTGGTGAGGGAACCTGCCCACTCGGGCGGCAGAATTAGAGGGAGGCCGAACTCTTTTTCTCCGCCGCAGGGGATCAGCCGGATCGACCTGGGAGCCTCCTGTGATCTGCCGCCAGGCTAGGCTGAAGAGTCTTCTGTGGGGAGGACCACTGGTCCCCTCGCCTTCTGAAGAAAAGCAGCGCTGGATTACGTGTGTGACATGTCTCCAGCCATCTCCTGTAAGGATAATAGTCGGCATCGCCGGCCAGGCAACTACCAGAACGCCCTGGATGTGATGCAGAGTAAGCCTGCTCCCCTGGACTTCTATGAAGATGGCCCTGCTGACACGGTCGGAAAAGAGGACAGGGAGGCACTGCTTCAGGAGCCACATGTCCAGCCTCTGGAGTCTCCCCAAGACTATAGAGCAGAGTTTGGCAATATCTTGCTGCTTCTGTTCCTGTATGTGCTGCAAGGGATTCCTTTGGGGCTTGCTGGCAGCATCCCCCTCATCCTGCAAAGCAAGAATGTCAGCTACAAGGACCAGGCTTTCTTTAGTTTTGTCTTCTGGCCTTTCAGTCTGAAGTTGCTTTGGGCTCCCTTGGTGGATGCTGTGTACTTCAAGAGCTTTGGTCGCCGAAAGTCTTGGCTTGTGCCTACTCAATACATCATAGGTCTTTTTATGATGTACTTGTCTGTGCGGGTGGATTCTCTGCTTGGGGAAGTTGATGGCCAAAGCCCAGATGTGGTGGCCCTTACTGTGACCTTCTTCCTCTTTGAGTTCCTAGCAGCCACTCAGGACATAGCTGTAGATGGCTGGGCATTGACTATGTTGTCGCGTGAAAACGTGGGCTACGCGTCCACTTGTAATTCTGTGGGTCAGACGGCTGGCTACTTCTTGGGAAATGTCTTGTTCCTGGCTCTTGAATCAGCTTCCTTCTGCAACAAGTATTTACGCTTTCAGCCTCAAGCCAAAGGAATTGTTACACTTTCAGGTAAATGTTGGATACAGTGTCTTATGGTTTTTAAGGTGTCTGTGTCCATTCCTAACTGGAAGATTTCATATATACATATGGTGATAGGTTCATTCCAAGCCTATCATTTATTTATTGAACAAATTATATTGCTGCTCATCTCATAGCAGTATCTCTATGGGAGCTGGCTGTTTTGCACAAGACCTTTTTATAGGATGACTTGAACTACAAAGTAGTATTTAGTTTTCAGTGTTTCCATATCTATCCAGCTTTGAAAATAATATTCTCTTGATACAAAGTCAGTGCGCACATGTAACACATGCTCCTATATTAGCATATTCACTAAGAATATTAAGTTACTTTATGAAAGACCTGACATGTGGCACTTCATGCCAGATGGGATCTCTGTATTTGAATATTTTATCTAGATTATTCTGATCGGTTATATCATAGCTGAAGAGTTTTCAGTCATTTATGAAGCTACATCAAGCTAGTTTATCCTTGTCTAAGCTTATAAATTATATCAGTGAAAAAGGCAAAATATTTCCCATGCATACGGCCTAGAAAAACAAAGCAAACCAGCACCTGTAAAATACATTGAGTATGTTTATTCAACAGGTAAAGGCCACCCAAATTTTAGAGCTTTCTTAGAATGTTCTTCAGAAGAGGAGTCTTGTTTTCTTAAAACTAGTAAGTTCAAGTTTGTCCTGGTCAGCCTACTTGGTGTAATGGATGATTAGAAGGTTTTTAATCCAATCAGAATACATTATTTTCCCATTGATATTCTAGAATACAGAAGCATATCTTCTTATCTTTTTGATGCTGATATCTGGATTGAGGAGCAAGTTTTGTTCCTTCACTGTATGAAAGCTGGTATGCATAGAACTGTTATACACAAAGTTAAGGCACAGTTCTGTTTGACTGATCTAACCCCAGACACATAATATAGGCTAGAAAAGTCAAGCCTGTGCTGTAGGTTGTTTGAGAGGGGTACTGAAAACCCAAGCATGATGTTAGCGCAAAAACTTAGTACTACTTAATTTTATTAAAATATTTATTAGTAATAATTCTTATTGATAAATGAGTATCCAGAGAGAGAGAAAACAAGAGTTTGGCTGAAGAAGTCAGAGGAAAGCACTTTTGTTGTTTGTTGTTCATCAAAGTAATATGAAGTTGGAGGGAACTGCTCTCATGACCTGCAGGTGATGTGCCATGTTTGTTTTCCTTTCTGAAGATGACAAGAACTATGCATCCTAGAAGTCCAGGTTGATTGGCCTTAAAAAGGCAAAACTTGCCCACCTACCAGGCAAGGTAGGGAATTTTTGAATTGTACAGAGGAATGAACTGTGGCAGGACAAGGGGCCCAAGAAGCTTCCCAGAAAATAGAGGAATGCCAGGTGGAGGAGAAGGAGATAGAGGAATGTGACACAAAGGCCCAAGCCTCTTGGGAAAATCTTTTATGCTCTGGATTGTTAGAACACTTTCCAGGGCTTCCCTGTGGATGTTTCTGGACCCTTGGAGGAATGGCAGGTGCTATAAGCCTCAGAGACTGAGGAAGAAGACACTTCAGATTCTGCAAATCAAAGGATTCCTGTCTCTGTCCTGAAGGAAGGGTAACAACCTTTCTGCTGAGAGGGTTTGAAGGAGCAATCTGTCAACTGGGTAGTCTTTGAAGATAAGTGTGCTGCTTTCCCAGGGCACACATTTGGAATGTGATGGAACGACTTTGAAGACACTGATACTTCCAGTAAGAAATATCCCTTTCTCTGATTCATGTGGGAACAACATTGAAGACATATGAGGTATTATGAAGTGCTGGGCAGGAGGATGAAGGAGTTGGGGCACAGGTGATGTTTTCTTTCTCATTTCTGTTGGAGAGTATGGTCTAAGAAGAATAGTAAGAAAAGTAAACAACAGGCTATCCAGATGTGTCAGGTTCAGCCCAAGAAACTCCACGAGACAGTACTGGAACAGTTCAGTTACTTTATTAGCTTGCACCTGCTAGACAGAATCTCACCAGACTAACTCTAACTCCCAAAGCCTGCAACTAAACA